GGATGTTTCTGGGTTCGTCCCACGCGGGCACAAGTCATGTCTGGTTTCCATTTAAAAACATTAGTCTCCCCGATCATGATGCCCGTAGAGCCCAGAGAGGCAACAGTTTATTATTTCCCCATTTAATTCTTCGTTTTATTGAAGAGCTATGTCAGGAGGCTCCAATAGGCTGCAGACATTCAGACATTGGTTGGTGAAAGCTGGTATTAAGAACTATATTTTTTAATAATCTAATATATATATAATTTATAATAATATATATAGATATATATATATTATATATATATATATTATATATATATATATATATTTTATAAAATCTTAATGTCTGCAGATGACTTTATCTGCAACATAAAAAATATTGCACAGTCACAGATAATCCCTAAACAAAAGAAGCTTTTATTTACCAACATAAATTTCCCCCTAATTCAAACTAAGTGGCAGCAGAAGCTCATACAGGCTAATGTAGCACACATGGTGCACATGATGGGAACTTACAGTATGTCTTTGACTGGGCATGAAAAGGGATAGAAGCTCATGTTGTATTTCTTGTCATTTTTTAATAATTAGTAGCCTTATGTGTGCGCAAAAACAACTTCCCTCTCCGTGCAAACAACCTCCTCTCTTTTCACACACACACACACACGCGCCCACTCTCTCTCTCTCTCTCTCTCTCTCTCTCTCTCCTCTTCTCTCCTCACACACACACCACACACACACACACACACACACACACACACATTCACATTCCCTTGCAGCTCCGTCTGCAGACAGAAAGGCACATTTTGTTTATTTAATTGCTGTTAATAATTAAGAAATCGAGCTTGGACCTCGGATATGGCAACACATGTAAACAATCGAATGAATTATTAACTGTGTGCTGGGATGTGACGGAGACTGCGTGATGGAGGCAGATTACCGAGAGAGCCCCGAGAGGAGAGGAGTGTTTGCTGCGTGACTCCCACTGCGTTTCAGGATGTACTTTCAATGCATATTTATTTATATTTTAATCTTCCATTAGTAAGAATTGGGTTACGGTTCTTTTTGCTTTGCCTCTTCCATTGCATTTCTTTTTTTAAAGGATTTTGGAAACTATACTTGGGAGTGCTGCTCAGATTATGCGTCGACATAATCGTGTTGTTGCTAATCGTTTTGGGGTTTTTTTTTACATAATGCATTTTCACTTTTTTACCCCTCCTTCTCTCGCTCTTGCTTTTCCCCAAAGTTTTAAGTTCCCAGAAGGCCACAGTGACGCAGCACAAATCTTAAAAAGCCAAACATTTTGGGGAGGAGGGATGCGGGTGGTATTCAATGCTTTTCTTAATGTGTTCAAATCATTTATGCAGCTCGTAATGTTGTCATCTCAGACTGTTTTCACTGGTGCGACGTTTTAACTTATTCCTTCCCTCTGCCCTCCCCTCCCTCCCCCACCCTCTGCACGCCTGGACGCTGACCCCTGCTCTCCTCGCCTCTTAACACCCTCTCAACACTAAAGTATTACCCTACTCACCTTCTAAACAATGCCTTAGTGGTAAGTCCTGTTTAGTCCCTTTTTTATTCAGCATTAGGTGTATGTGTCTTCTCTTTCTTTTTTCCTTTCCTTTTTTTTAATCTTGGAAAAAGAAGCAAAACAAAAACCACTTTTTTTTTATCCTTCTCCTCCTCCTCACGTAGGGCCTCTCACTCTGACCTGTAGCTGGATTTATTGCAGGAGCGCGCTGACATTGTTTGGCACACACTTAGCAAGAAATATTTTTCACATTATATGCTTTTATTTTGTTAGTGTTTTTATTTATATATATTTGTAGTTAAAGAAAAACAGCGGGTAATGATCAAAAACTGACCGCAGGTCCAACACTATGAATAAATGACTGCGGCGGTAAAACCAGATTATAAATCGGCGCTACTTTCCAAATAATACTTGTAACAATCCGCGAGGAAAGGTCGTTTTCCGTGACTTTAAAGAACTTTATTTTCCTGCGGATCTATTTTCTTAGTAGCCATAAGTCGCCTCTGCTCTGAGATCCACGATGTCAGGCTCCGTGACTTATTAGTTTGTCCGCCACAGTTTCCCCTATCAGCGCGATATTTCTCCAAGAGGATGTATTATATTTTTCTTACGTCACCGCCAATCGGTATCTCGCGTTATCAGAAAGACGCGTTTTCAGTGACAACAGAGTATTTCTTGGGGGGTGGGAGGGACATGAGCTTGTTTATTTTATGTGAACATCTGATAAACAAATGTAATCAATATCTGGACTTTAATGCATTAACTTTAAGTTTACACAAATTTGGTGACCCCCACCCCCCTCTCCTACCCCCACCCACTTCATCCACTCCCTACACATCCAGGCTGTCTCTCTGTCTCTTCCCATGGTCTGGAAAATGAGTTGGAACAGCTGTTCAGAGGATTAAAATCCGATGGAAGGGTGGTCTGAATAAACAGGAAAATGTTGGATTTTTCAGAAACCTAATGAACAGCGTGTAACCAAGCGTCCACGCGGGACATCTGATTGTTCACCTGAAAGTTTTGGTTAACACCCATCTGAATGTCTTTACACCAGTTAGGCCCGTGAGTTGGCACCACTGGGTGCCCTTTTCCAGCCAGACTGTATTGCTCCCATCCTTTAAAAGTCAGTTAAGGATTGGTCTTAAATTACTCAGGTGGGCATATTTAAATCATGTTATTGTCATGTGATCAGGTTCAGTTTCACAACAGCTTAATTGCTTTGATTCTACACACACACACACACACACACACACACACACACACACACACACCCCTTGTGTAATCCAGTAAAGCTATAGAGGAAGAAGAAGAAGTGTGGAAAAGAGACACAGCGGCCAGTAAAGCACTCTGCTTCTGGCCACCAGTCAGAAAAAATGAACTCATAGCTCGTTTGATTGACAGGTAGGGCTGATCTACTGTGCTCTCTCGACTGCTGGTTGTGTGCGCACATGTGTAACTGGAGTGCTGGACTGGCTGTGCTGGTTGTTTTGTGCTGTACAGGCAAAGCTGGACCCTTTCCCCCTCTTCATGGGATACCAGGAGGTCATAATGTCAGACTGCCTGGGACACTGTGTTCCATTTATAACACACAGTCAGTTACAGGCCCATCCGCCTCAAAACCCACAACACATCGCAAACACACACAACACACACACACACACACACAAACACACACACACACACACACACCACACACACACACACACCACACACACACACACACACACACACACACACACACACACTGATCACCTCAGGCCTCAAACAAGCAGGTCACTCTGATAAGACATTGTAAAACTCCAAATGAGGGCTTTTTAGCGTGACATGGAATATTTGCATTGAAAGCGCATGACTTAGAGGTTTATGAAGGTTTCTGTGATTATTGTCAGTCAGAAATGTGACTGAGGGCCACCGTGCGTCAGCATGCAGACATTTACTGTCGTTTTTTTGGGGGGTTTTTTGCAAAGAAAATCAGAGCTCTCTGTGGTGGCAGAGACAAAGACAAGATGAGTCGGGTGCATTTTTGGCAGCAGGGAATATAGATTTGAATTAAGTAGCATGTAGTTTTTATCTCGAGCTGCATGCAGAGAGAGGCAGAACCAACTGCGTCTCATTCAATATCAGCACAGCTGTCCCAGCATCCGTGGAGAATGGATTCCTACTGCTATTGCCATGGGAGGCTCCAGCCAAGAAGAATGGGAGGATATCCAGTGTGTGCGCTTGTGTTTTAAAAGGAAGGCGAGGAGTGAGAGGGGCGAGGAATATGCTGGTGTGTCTGTGTGCACACATGTCTGTATGCGTGTGTATGTTTGCGTGATTTTTGCATGTGTGTGTCATGTTGTCTCCACCCGCCTCACTTTTCCTTCGCTCATGTCACCTCTGGCATGGATTAGTCTCTGGCACAACCCTGGCAGTGCCGGCGGCCCCAGTGCGGTTCTGTGGTCGCCGATATGTTGTGCCGTTGCCATGGCTACTGAACACACACACACACGGGTGCTAAATTACATAATTGAGCTAGAATATACAGAGGAACACAAAATACTTAGTGTACAATGTGAGCAGAGAAAAGGGAAAAGGGAAAACCACCGAGACAAAGTGTTCCTTTACCAGAATATGAACCGAGAGCTCAAAGCTGACATGCATTGGTGAATATCTAAGAGCTTTGTCATAGCTTAACACATCGGTACAGCGTGTTCTTTCCCTTGATTTTGAGTCATAAATCTACATAAGAGTGCTGCCATTATGCGGATGTTTGGAACAACAGGCAGTTGAGGGAAAGGTGTTTGTGGTGGCACACACGTGCATGTGTGTGCGCACGCGTGTGTGTGTGTGTCTGTAAAAGCCAAAAATGTCTGTTTGATAGGGGTGTGGCAGGTTAAGTTTACACAAATGCATCATTCACATAATTCCTCAAGTTCATCTCATTGTCCTCGTCCTGAGCTGTAGATTGGCCCAACTGGATCGTCGGTGCGCTACGAATTTAAAATCTTTGAATTGGAAAAGTAGCAAACACCAAATATCCCCCAACCAGGATTATCAGTAACCCTTACTCCATTGAGTTGCATATTAACCCAGAATTAGCATCCATTCGAGCTGCAGTGTTGTACACTTAGGGATGCATATTGTGCCAAAAGTAGAACATGTTGCTTGTGATGATAGATGGCTGTCTCTACCTGTTTCAGTCATTGGTAGAATCAATATTTCAAAGATGAATGTGGTACCTTAGTTTAGGTTTTGAAACATCCTTGCCACCTTTGACAGATTTGTCAGTAAAAGAAATAATAATAATAATGGATTGGATTTATATAGCGCTTTTCAAGGCACCCAAAGCGCTTTACAATGCCACTATTCATTCACACACTGGTGGAGGCAGCTACGGTTGTAGCCACAGCTGCCCTGGGACAGACTGACAGAAGCGAGGCTGCCATATCGCGCCATCGGCCCCTCTGGCCAACACCAGTAGGGTAAAGTGTCTTGCCCAAGGACACAACGACCAGGACAGAAAGCCCGGGGATCGAACCGGCGACCTTCCGGTTACAGATGTGCTTCCCAACCCAGCCACGGTCGGTGGTCTCTATTTAAAAAAAAGCTTATTTTTTGTCTTATTAGACTGATCCATTATGGGGGGAGGGCAAAAAAATTGCAAAAACAGAGTGCTAATTAAATTGTCAAGCATTTGATTAAAATTTTACTTGATGTGAGGAAAATATTCAGCAGAGCCAACCTCTTTATTCCAATAAAACCCAATATGCAGCGCAACTGTGTTTTGGCCTCAGGACGAGCAGATGTTCAAACCTTGGACCTCTAACGGCTTGAAAAGGTTCAAGATCTGTACTCTCATGAAGAACTGAGGCATAATTTTAATTTGCATAGCAGCTTTAGTGTATTTATTGGTTGCTATCGCTCAGCTGTTAATTCATAATTGCATATCAGTTTGACAACAGTGCGTGACATGTTTATGTCAAAGCAACAAAAGAAGTCCAGTAGACAAAACTGTCACTGCTATAAAAGGTTTTAGTCAATAAAGTCGTGATGCAGATTGTGAAATGAAAAATGTTGTACATTTCTCAGTGTTTAGTTAGTTTTGTCTCGTGTTTAGAGCCACCGACGGCCGACTCAGAAACGTTTCTAAGCGTGCTTTGTTCTTGTGTTGAGTAAATTTGAACAACTGCCAGTATCAACACACGGCGCGAACGTTGACAGTAATTCATTCTCTGCTCTTTCTTTTTAATCAACAGCATTTCCGTGAAAAGACAAGCCGAGTGATATTGAAGTTCTTTTGTGCCCCACAAAATAGAAACTAAAGGCCAAAACCTGCGAGTGGGGCGAAACAGCCGCTGCATCAGTCTGTCACAAGTCAACAGGAATAGATAGAGATTTGTTTTGCGGATCATTGACAGCCCACTCAAGGTCACTTCAGTGTGGGCAATCTGGGCATGTTGTTTGGCCTGTCCTGCCTGTCTGTCTGACCTACATCTCACTGCTCTGGCTAAATATATACAGTAGACCCCTCATTACAAAGCTTCCAGATTAATCTGGATGAAATCTGAGCACCGTTCTCCCCCGCCGTGGCTGACTGCAGTCTCTCTTCACAGACTTCCACAGGCTGACTTTCTATCTCACCCAGTCTCTCAGACACTAATATTCAAAAACTAAAGAAATAAATGAAGCTGGCAGATGAAGGCTTTCATACAAATGTGGCACACACTTGTGCGTTATCATCTTGTAAATAAGATAAAAGCCACAAAGGCTTCTGCTTGTTCAGAAACAAACGTCTACACGTACAGTACAGCATTTCTGCAAATTCAGTCCTAATGTTGGCTATATACGCTATGTTTTGCTGGGCTTCAAGCCTGAAGCACCTGCACATACTTAATTCCACAAGACACAGGTGTGCATTCTTTCAGAAAAAAATCACACCCATCACGACTCTGATAGACCGTTTACTGTATTTAATTAACCACAGTATTTAAAAGTAGTCACACAGTCCTGTGAAATGAACTCCAGTACCCTTTTAGTGACACCTCCCCCCGGCCTAGACATGTTTATTTAGAAACGCATTTAATACTGCTGATTTTATAAAAGGGGATGTTACTGCTTTAATTTTGATAAAGAAGCAAAATATCAGTCATAATCCATCTTTTTTGGCTAATTTATCCAGTTTATTTTTGGCTAGCTATACGCTTTAGCTAACAAGTCCAGTCATTTTTCTAATGGTTTTAGCTAATTGTTGTTTACTGCTACTAAATAAAATATCAAAGAGTTTTGGTCTGGAGAATCGAGCATTGAAAAGACTTTATTAACATTAACATATGAAATATTAAAAACCCGTATTCAGATGTCACTCAGTTACCAGTTGCTTTAAGCTAACAGTTTTAGCTCCTTTAGCAACAACGTTCAGTTAACTGAACTGTCTGTCGCTACACCTGAATATTTACCCATTACAACTGCTATTTTTTTTCATGTTAAGCTATTTAAAAATATTTGTAAATAATTTTTAGTTTTCTGTTTCAACCCTCTACACATTATTTTAGCTAAAGGTTAAGTGTTCATTACGTTTAACTAATTGTTTAAAATTCTCTCTCACACCCATTGCTCTTATGCATTGTCAAGAGTCACACATAGTCACAGCTAACTCAGTAAATTGATATAAACAGCATTTCTATTGCTTCAAATTAATTGAGCGTTTCTAAATTCTTTCCACGTACCTTCTGGCAATAGCAGAAACACCCCCTGGGGCACTCTACCATATATATGGGAAGGCACCAAAACACATTTTTCGCTGTTAATCTTCAGTGCGTGTGTGTGTGTTCTACCCATCCTTGTATCACTAGGCTAAAGAGACATCTCTGCACACCTGGTAGAGCCTGGAGAGGTAATAATAATTTGGATAATTTGGATACAAAGACTTCATCAGGCCACAGTTAATTAGGAAGCGGTGGCGGTGTCTGGGATGGAATGACATCACGTGGTTATGATGTCATGGCATTAATCATCTTTTCACCACTTCTTTAGTTCCCCTTTGAGTAGAGGAGGGATAATGGGGCGCTGATTGGCTCGTTGATTTTACCTCATATTTCCCGAGGCTTTCTTTTACAATCACACCGCATTACCTCATGCTGTAGGGAGGGAAGTGATCGAGGGCTGGCTATGCTGATCCATAGACCATGCAGGAGTGTAACTCCTTAGACTGCGAGCCCAACACTGATTATGTCCCGGGCTTTAACGTTACATCAACATTTCAGATGTACTTTTTTCTCTTCCAGGAACATGGCTTAAAGATTGTGACTGGGCTTACAAGGCATTTATTGGGTTAATGTTGGAGGGAAAATCTTTTCCTGTCTTGGGGGTGGGTGGAGGAACGTTGACGCTGGGAGGCTTATGAACCCGCAAGTCAAACAGTAATGAAAACAGTTGTGACCTGATTTCAAGAGGCGGGGAAAAGACAGTGTAGAAGGGGGAATGAGCATTTTAAGATATAGACAAAAGGCTGCAGAAAATATCTGGGGCTACTTTCTTTCTTTCTTTTCCTTTTCTTGCTTTCTTTCTTACTCACTTGCTCCCCTTCATGTCTTCCTGCTACCTTCCCTCTCTTTTTGTCTGTGTATCTAATTCGGCCACCCCGTCCAGCAAGGAATAGCTGTCACCCTGGGGAACAAAGCGCTAGAGCTTGCTCTTCAGAGCAGGAAGTTGGCTTGGGGCCAAGGGTGGAAAATCTATACCCGGTTGCATAATATAACATATCTTTACCTCAGATGAACTCTGAGGAGGCCTGGCAGCTGTGAGCAAACAGAGCTGGAGGGCGGGAGTTTGTGTGTTATTAACTGACTCTGTTTGTGTGGAAGTGTCTGTGTATGTGTCGGGTATGAGTGCACGCTCTATGCTTCTTGTAACTTGCGTTTGCTGGCCGGCGCTGCAGGCCCAAGGCTGTTTCAGACCCCCTTGACAGTGGAGCCGAGTACAGTAGAGTCAAATAGAGCCTTGTTGAAATAAGTGAGGAGTAGAGTAAAGTTGAGTAGAGGAGTCCGAGGCCAAGGAGGGCTCAGGGTTAGATTCAAACACAACTCTGCGGCTTCTACTTTTGGCTCAGGGAGCCAGTAACTACCATCCCTACTCCAGCTGCAGCATACTCTGGGAGGGAATTCAGATATAAACTTTCTGCTCTGTTTAGGCTCAGAGAAATAGCTTCAGGATTAGTGTGTGTTACATGGAAAGTTGTATATTTGACTGGAAAATTCAGCGCAGGATGAGGATTTCATGTCACTGCTAAAATATAAAACACAGATGGGCCAGATTTAACTTTACTCTGCGAGTTCACGGACGTTCCCCGCTCGTCTAACTCTCATCATGACAGCTTGTGAATTCGCTTCCATGGTGCATTCATCCCACTGCCTTCCCTTTATTAAGACGTCACTCTGGTCTAGGTATTATCTCTAAAGGAGGCGTTTGGAGAAACAGTAGCGTGTGTGGAGGGGACAAGGAGCGAAATGTCCTGATAGCATTGGGCTGTCTAACGTGTCAAGCTTCTGTCAGTCCCTCTGCAAAGCCCAGTGAAACTTAAAGCCGGCCTCATTACAGTCATCATCTGGAATAAAGTGCAATCATCACCGCCACCTGTGGAAAGCTGCGGTGGAGAAAAGACTCTCACAGGCCTTATAGACCGGTCTGCTGGACTCGTGTATCAGTTCACAAACACATTTTATATCATTGGTGTTATTTTTTCCCCCCACTTCCATCTGCACACCTGAACACAAATATATCAAGCCAGAGTTAGGTCTCATATGGGGACCACAAATTGACTGTATATTGCCGCCAGGCTGTGGAGATTTATGATGAAAGTGAATAGGGATGGTGTGGGCGGGGATGCAGAGGTGCATATTATGGCGCCTTTTTTTTTTCTTCTGTGTTGGAAGAGCTGATGGTCTTGAGAATAGTATAGAGGAGTACAACAACAGCAGAGCTATTTTCATTTTAGAAAGATTATAGAAAGAAATTCAGCACAAAGAGAAAAGAGGGGGAAACGGGCGCGAATGAAAGAGGCCATAGTCTGTGTATTGTAAATACAGTAGACTGGGGAGCATTCCATATCCTTTTATTTTTTTTCTACCAGCATGATTTGTTTGATTTACTCTCTATCAATCAGCGGCGGATGTATTTAAACAGACTTGAAGTATATTTGAGAAAGCCTCTTTATAGCTGTGGCTGTTTGTATTCTCCTTTTACTTTCCTTGGAAGCAGACCGTGATTAAAACAGACGATACAGGCGTATTGTGTTTCCTAGGGGATTGGAAGGAATGCAAATGCATCATAACCATATTATACTAGTTAGGAGTGCTTTGTGTTGCCAAGCCTCTGGATACAGGAGAGAGTAGACACAGTTACTCTAAAGAGTCCCGAATGCCACAAGTGCAACAACAGGAGAGGATATTTGACACTGCTGGACCGTATTTGACATTTCATCGTATACACACGGCGCTAAAAGCCTGCGCCGCATAAAAATACAAAACTTAACGCAGGAAGCCCCCCAAAAAAAGTTCTGCTGTGTATATATGTGCGTGGAGCGCCGCAGAATCCATTTGGCATTTTTGTTGTGAGGGAAGCATGCTGCTGGTGGGACTTTGGCCTGCACAATCCCTTCTCTGTTAAAACAATGCGGCAGTTGTCCTCACTAACCTAATTACTCTCTCCAGGGGGAGAAAGGCAACAGCACCAAATCCCATAGTTAGGAGCTCTGATCTGGGCCCTGCTGTAAGAAAAGGCCTCATTCATTTCCCTCCCTCCGTCAGCCACACATGCACAGGCTCACACAAACACTTTCTATTTTTCACGGCGATTGGATTCAGCCTGAAAGAAGCTAATGGTTCGCTAATACGCCCCGATATTTCTTTTGATATGTGTTTTTTTTGTGTCGTTGTAACAGTTAATTACATCATTCTGATAATAAAGAATTTGCATGTAACATTCATGTCATGATATGAGCTTTGTGTCAGCCCTGGGAGGTGTAAGGTGACCCTAACCATATCAGAACATGTTTTTTTCTCTTAATTTGTTCCCATGAGTGTTGGGAATCAAAGAAAAAAAATAATAATAATAATTGTAACTGACTTGCATAAAAAATTACATTTTGATATTTTTTTGTTTTTGCTATTCTCTAAAACAGGGTTAGGGCCATCGCTGACCATCCTAACCTAGCCAATGAAAAATGCATTAGCAGGAAATGTTGTTTATATATTAATGATGTAGCTTTGACCCAATGTCAAACAGGAGAAGTCCAGCGGTTTACTTTGAAATGCTCTCAGTTATAGAAATGACTAAAACCAGCTAAGATCCCAACACATAACCATATAAGACAGTAATATGAAAAAGAAAATCCCACAAACACAAAGTCAAACCGTGTTTTTATATCAGTGCTGATTTTTCTTTTCATGCTAAAATCCAGAAAGCTACTTTTGCACGATACAATCAGAAGTGTGAAGGATGCACCTTTATACCATGTAACATGTTGACATTTAAAACAGTTTGCAGATATATCTTATACACCCAAACACAAGTTGTCAGTTCATTAGACACTTGATATATATTGAGGACTATATATCTAAAAGAAATAGCTGAGATATTACCTTTTTAATGTTTATTAATGTAGAGGTTTTTCTACAGCCCATATTTATATTATTCCAGCTGTGTAATACCACAATATCATATGTAGTATCTGTATATAAACTGTCCCTCACAGCTTTGTTTAGGTTATTACACCCTTGCCAAACACAGAAAGAAGCTTAGCTTCATTATATTGATGGTGCGTTCATCGGTGTTTGTTGTCAGAGTCATTTGTGGGAAGTAACCTTAAATATTGGCACAAACCTCGCTTTTCTTGTTCCACATCTATCCTTTGTTTTGTCTTTCTCACCCTCCCTAATCGCTCGTCTTTCATCACTGCATTGGCACCACATTAGGCTTCTTTAAAACTTTATTACAGCAGCTTCAGACGAGGAAGTCCGGATAGCGAGAAGGAAAATGGGCATTTGTGTTGGTGTGTGTGTGTAGTGGCATTCGCTAAGAAAAGGAAAGGGTGTTAAAACCTTAATTCTCCCTCAACCAACCTGTTTGGGTTTTGTTTATTTGTCGCTTCTCTCTCAGGAAGATTAGAAAAGCCATTGTGTTGAGGCTTGGGAAATAAGGCTTCTAAGTTTATATTTGGAGATTGTTGCGGTGCTGCGTTGTTGGTTTAGACTGTTGGGGTTTAGACGTCTTTGTTTGTTTATATGGGAAAAGGAAAATTTTTACTGAGATCGAGATTTCTCTTGCAGGGGAGACCTGCACACTTACAAAAGCATCACGGAAAATGTAGACTATTGACCAGCATATATTTGCATTTTTTAATTAAATGGTTTTATTTACTGTATGACTGTGTCTTTGGAGCATGCTTAGAATAACAAGCTCAACAGACCGCATGTCCTGGTATTCTCAGGGCGTATAAGGAGACAGTAATGTTTGTGTATACATGCATGTGTGTGTGTGCGTGTGTGTCTGGCCGTGCAGTGTTTGTCTTAGGTCCCAGCTCCTTTCCTGTGGTGTGTGTGGGCTTGAATCGGTCCAGCCTGTGTGGACCCTGCACCCTGTTTGTGCGCCTCTCGACACTCACCCTACGGCACAAACGGAAGCTCTGCTTTAACAGCATGATCGGGGCTCTTCCTGCAGCCTCCAGCCCGCTTTATTAAACCTATGGCTGTCCTTTTACGCTCCCTTTTTTCAGTCACTGTTAGCGCTTTGCATCTTTCCAACTAATCTATTAACCTTTGCGGTTCATATAGCCTCTATGCCAACTTGTGAAACTGCCCTGTCAGTGGCAGCCATGATTGACCTTCTCCTCAGTCACATATTTAACCCTTTCTTCATCGTTCACTGAGCAGACCCTGAAATGGGTTTTCTGCTTCTTTTTTAAATGTGAACCCAACTTGATCTTTTCAGTGTGACCCTGCTAGATATACTGCGCAGCCCTCGCTGAGTACGTTTCCACAAACCTTTTAATGAATGGAAATGCAATGCGAAAAGCGGCGACTAATTGCTGGAAATAGATCCCCTATTCTTTCATTCTAATTTCTTTTTTCTTTTGCCCTCCTGGTCTTTGTATTTATTGTGTTCTTTTAGCCAGGAGATGTCCTCCTTTATCAGGGCTCGTGCAGACACAAACAACCACACCTCTGTCAAATATTCGCCCCCGGTTGGTGCTTTTTGTCCACAGAGGGCACAAAGCAAAGTACGGGCCTACAAGCTCTGCAGTGAGCTTTACTCTTCATATGGGATCCATACATGCAGGACCTCAATTATTAACTTACGGTCAAGGCTCAAGCTCGGCGATTTGGATTATTACAAGTTAAAGATAATAAAGAATATATAGACAGGAGGCTTTGGGGGGTGCACACAGACGTGGTGGGTGAGACAGTGGGGGTTGTGAGTTAGGGATGGCAGCAAAGCATTTGCATAAAGGGCAGGGCATCATGCCCAATGGTGGAAAAGGTTGGCATCACGCCTTTCAGACTGGCAGAGAGGGAAGACTGGAGAGAGAGAGAGAGAGAGAGAGAGAGAGAAGGGGGGTTGTAGTCAATAGTGCATCCCTTGTTCAGAAAGAGGAGGTCCCTAGCTGTTGGCAGGAGAGCAGGCTAAATCTCTGGTTTGATTGTGTGCTAGATTGCCCCTTTATTTGTCTGATTGCAAAGCGTTCAACACTGCATTAGTAGTGGGCTTTACTTTCCTGGAGCCTTTATTCAGGAGGGAGTTTTTCTGTCTTGGCCTGTTCTGCGATTGTCACTCCACATATGTCTCAGAGTTTGGATTGTGTGCAATCATCAGGCAGTTTGAGAAAGTTTCTGACCTGTCTGTTTTATCAAGCCTCTGCTCTTTATCCGCAAGCCTCCCGCTAAGGTTAACGACAGTGTTGATTTAACTCGATGCCATATTCAGATGTGATTTCAAAGATAAATACAGACCGGAAGACAACTGCAGAGAGGCAGGCAGCGGCTTCTGCCTGTCTGTATGTGTACGTCTCTTACCTTCTGCTTCTCAGAGCCACAACACTGCTGCTCCCTTCATGCCGTCTGTGATTCTGGCGATCTGAAGGCAGCACGAAGTGAAAGGGACAACTATGTAGTGCAAGCATGTTATTTCTATCCCTGAGTTCCATAAGTGATGTGTATAGAGTCTGAGCTTTCTCCACATCGCGCACAGCCTGCGGTCATTATGACCGCTAAGAGTGTGATGCCTGCAAACTCACTGTGACCATAAACCTCAATAAGCCTTTTCATTAGGCATCTGTGGGAGCTAATTAGCACTAGTCATGGGAAGTTACTGTCTACGTGAGTAAATTGATTTTTCCTTAAATTTACGCTTTGATCAAAGACAGTCAACTAGAATTTTGGCTTTCATTTTGTCAGAAAAATCTGAGGAAATTCAGTTAATGTTGGTATGAAGTGTAGACGTATGGTCAGCGTTAAGAAGTTTTAGTGCAAGGTAAATTATTCCAAACATACACTGTGCGACAAGCAGAGAGCTCAGCATTTCCACGAGGCTGAACTTGTAGACAGAAAGATGCACAAGAATAATCCCTTTAGTGAGGTGGCACGGACAGCCATAACAAGCTGCGCCGCCTAAGAAAGAGCACCGTGCGACAAATAAAAATGTCCCTTTACAAGTAAAATCATAGTTAATTACAAATGAATGTGTCTTTATGTTAAAAAAGATCTAAATTTACTGGCTTGATATTATTTCATTGTGAAAAATATTTCTTTGTAAAATGTAAGCAACATGCAAATAACTCAGTAATCACTTGCTTTCAACAATCACTACATAGATTTATATAGTGTTAAAAAAATCATTATTTACAAAGTATCCATGTGTTCAAGCAGCAAAAAATTGATACAATTCAAACAAATAAATTTTTACTGTGTGCTTCGTGTGGAAACATAGTTTCATATTTTAGAATAGATTTCTATTACTTAATGTAACTGTTTGAGGTGTGTTGTGTTACCTAATGGCCAAATCTAGAGGTATTTGTATTTCCATTGCATGTTACTTACACAATTTTACACCACTAGATTAAAAAGAGGAATAACTGGCTCCATTTAACATTCTTCACTATTAAAAAAAACTAATTTTGTCTGTAATTTTACTCTGTGTTCTCCAAATATAAATAAAAAGTTTACTAAACATAAACATATTTTAATAGCAAGCCAGTTACAATTACTTCTTCTACTATCCTAGTCCGTTTCTGCATAGAACAGTGTGACATGAGTCTCCCACACTCTTGGTACACAAGAAATTTTTTTAAAAAAAAAGTAAAATTCCCCTTGTTTCAAATAAAAACTTGTAAAAATGAAGCTTTGCATTATAAGCCTTCATTTCCAGACAGTACGCATTTAGCTGCACACTGACCAGTTATTCATACACATCCACAACAATAATACAGTGTCAGTATACTTCTGTATATAAACACGTATACAGTTCATGTAATTACTACAACAATACTTATTCAGCTTCACCTTTACAGGTCACACTGGTAAAGTTCTGTTTGTATATTTCAGCGTTAATAATACAATATGTAAAAGTTAAGTTAGAGTTCTTGTAATTAGTATATATTAATGATAATAGGTTAACAAGATTTTAATTACATGACTTTTAATTTATTTTCTATAATTATGTAATAAAGCTTTTAGGAGGCTGTGTTCCCCTATCATTTGACAGAATATGGGAATAAAGTCTCTTAATAGCTGCCATTAACAAAGGAAATGTTAAAGGCCTCACATCCTGTTCCATATATTTATTTCATTGTTGGTTTAAAGCAGACTTAAAATTATGAAATTATCCTGTAAAGCTATTTAGAGGTGGCAAAGCTGTGAAAGCAGGTTATTTTACAGAATCAGAATTATAATGGGCTATTCTAATATGTTACATGATAAAAATCTGACACCAGCCGAAGGCGTAATCAGCCCTTGTGCATGCTTGTAAATCCACGCGAACCCAAACATTGTGCACCTGGTGCAGGGAGGGCGGGACCCCAAACTTTAGAGGAGCATTTTCCGAACATCGCAAACACCAGAAATTGTGGTGTCGGCTTCAGAAAATTCAGATGATGTTTAAATTCTCCTCCGGTGCGAGAGCGCGACGAGTTTACCTTCAAACGGGCAACAAACAGCGGAGCCTCGGTTTGAAAACACAATCGTGTTGTTTCAGCTCACTTTCTTCTCCCAGCAGTGTGTGAAAGGCTGACTTTGGCATTTCACACTCATGTCTTTGAAAAGAGGAGTAAAGCCCTACAGCTTTGCTAAGCGACAAGTTAACACATGAACCTGAAGATCCTTTTCATTTCAGGCAGTGTTGAAATTTTAATTCCAAATACTAAAAGGGATCTTTTCATGAGAGGGGTTATGGTGTAACATCCCTCCGCTTTAAGCCTATTGATAAATCGGTCTGCTTGTAATTCTCTGTGATGTGTGTCAACCAGACTGTCTAGATCAAAGATAAATGTGGTGTATGGCGATGGCTACGAGCGCCTGGCTGCTTATAGACTGTTCAAATGACATGATATCTCACTTCTAGCCTGCTCATCAAAAATGTATCACTTTCCATCAAACCAAAATAGGAATGTGGGATCAAAGAGAATGAATTTGCTAAATGCATTTCTTTGTTGCAGGCCAGGCACAACGTGTTTACCGATTACTGAGCTGGTTTTTACCAGGGTAGGAAATTAACACTCGCCACCAGCCAAATGCTGCTAAAAGCTGGCTGTGGTTTGTAAGTTTGTCTCCACTACCAGCCACTTTGGCAGCTTTTTTATTTGGATCTTGGGGAAATGGTGAGAATTAGTTGGTGGTGGTTTTTTTTTCTCTTTTTTTTAAGAAGAGGTGAGGCAAAAACAACAAAAAGAAGGCATAATGTCTTAGTCTGGTCAGTAGTATCACCGTCACTGGCTGCAGTGTGAGCAGCAGTAGTCTGTTGGCTCGCACAGTGAGAAAACACTCAGTCATGGCTGTAGTGGTGGTGCTGAGTCGGCCTGTCCCGGCATGGTTAGTCACTCACGCACACGTGTTAGTGAGATGCAGGGCGGTTTCTTCATCCAGCATTCTTTCTAGGCAGGGGAAAGGGTTTTGGAGCATGCGATTGCATGTGCATTAATGCATGCCTGGAGCTCCAGGCTGCAGAGATGTCATGGTTTCAAAGGTGAGTCCAGAGTGTGACATCGCCACAATCCACATGTTACCGAGCAGGCCGATGCGATATGCACATATGTTGCAGATCGGAGTGTATTACCCCACTCCTCTGTCCTCGCTCAGCGATACTGACGTCTTCATCCAAGTACATCTGCACGCCTCTACTTGTGTTATACCACCTCGAGCGGGAACAAATATTGTTTTATAAACTCTCTGCTGAGAATCCTCAAAACAAAATAGCCTCAAGTCATCAGCTTCAACACTTACAGATGAGGTGTGTTTAGTTGTGCTCTTCGTGTATTCACATTCAGTCTGCGCTGCGCAGTTTCACTTAAAAAGTTGAGTGTTCGTGTTAACGCCAACGCTCCAAAGGGCCCAGGACCATTTTGGAGTGCAATCCGGGTGAGCGGAGCAGCTCTTTGTGGGGACTGGAATGTGCCGTGCGTGCCTCTTCTTCTCTTCAGCCCCTCTTCCACCTCACCCCGCCCCACCCCGGGCACGTTAGCACGCAGCCACCACAAATTGCTTGCAGATTTTTCACACATAGTAACGTGCTGGTTTGTAAACTCAGATAAGTGCAACCAATGCACGGCGTGAGCTCCATGGATCTCTACGCATCACTCGCTTGCTAAAGAAACAGAGTAAAGGGTGCTCCGAGATACCCCCCCCCCCTTTTTTTTAATGTTACCCTGAGCCAGGAATGATTACTGTGGATGATAACAGCAGAGGGTCATGCAGTGGGCCGATTCATTACAGTATAGACCATCAACCAATGGATGGCACACTTTGTGGCATCAGGGGAAACAGTTTCTTCACACTTTAGCACCAATCTGTGAAATTTTAAAATGCAGCTAGAATACTCCAAGTGCTTTCCTCCTTCTCGAAATGTACACCTGACTGCCTCATCCTCACTCTCACAGGCCTCTAACATTTTTGCACTCTAAAATAAATGACTGAATCTCCTCTGCGTCCCTCCTAACCCTTTTCTCCTCCAACACCTTCCTCACACCCTGGCTCTCTGTCAGCCAGGGGTCAGTGGGGGAACCGGTGTCAGGCTTCGTCCGGGTCAGGGACACTCAGGTGGTCAGGAGAGGATGCAGCCGAGCCCCGCCAGCCCAGAGCTTCCCCTTAATGAAGGGGCCAGGCAGCTGGAAGGCCCTCGGGTTGTGCACACTACTGGCTTAATTGGCCTAATGAGATGCAGTGAGGCCTCCACGAGGTCAGGTGCCACATGATGGGAGGACCTGCTGCTGGGTTCAGAAAGAGTTTTATTATCATGGGTTTTGTGGGTCTTATGTGAAAGTTACCTGATGTAGACAAGTCATTGTCGTATTCTGGGCATGGCAAACACTTTTGTTTGTTAAACAAAATTCAAGCCAGAGATTTATCATAACAAAAAAAAATGCAAAAGAAAAGAAAAAAAGAAAAGCATTTCATTGTGCCAGAGTTTTGATTATTTGGCTGTAGGATCTGGACTTTAGAGCAAAAGCTCACTTTCACCGCCATCATTTCTTGGAAAAGTTGGATGGCTAAAATCACAAACTGACACTTCTAATCGCTGTGTTACTTTTAATTGCATCCATTCAACCTGTTTTTGTTTAAGGACAGGAAAAAAAGAAATGTGAATACGCGAGACGGCCTTCAGCTTCTTGGTTGATTGAGTCTTGATTTATCCTTTTTTTATGGCAACCACATACAACGACACAAATACTCAGAAATTATGTATTGAGGTGCTGACGGTGACTGAAAAATGCCAAAAAGAAAAAAAAGCAAAACTAATTTAGTTTTAGATTAGATTCGACTAAATTAAATAGAATAGTGACATTATATTTAGTATGTTTTTGTCAATAATGTTTTAATTATTAATGAATGAAAAAAATATAATAAGATATCAATTATCTTAAAATGATGGACTCCTCCATTGTTTATTCAAACGGAGCTTAAAATGCAAAGGAGCACTAATGAATCCAACTCTGGGATGTTTTTCACAGTTAAGAGCCTTTTCTGTCCTTGCTGAAAGAGTTAATCTGAAGTTGGCAGCCAACTCCTCTCAGTCTCTGTCAGACGTGCGGAGAATTGGAAAAATAAAGGACTTAAAAAAATCATTTCTTTTGTCTTGTCATAGGCAGCGTTCAGCTGTGGCTTTTATGTGGACGATTTGACTATTTTTAATTTTTTTTTATTTCAGTTTGAATAAAAAGCCGAAACCTTTGCGATTGAAACTGTGATCTCTGATTTATAAATACAAATTGCTTTAATTTGGGGTTATCGACTCTGAGTGGGCCAAGTGTTTATTTTTATATACGATAACGGGGGGAGGGAAAAAAGCAAATTTAAAGATTTAAGGGGGAAATGCGTTAATGTCGCGAAACCTGAACTGAATTCCATATGCTGAACCGCGTCCCGGGTCATTCAGAGCCGTGCTGGCACTGCATCTGCTTGACAGGCTACATTTGAAATACATATCTGGGTGTTTCAGGGTCTCCTCTCTCGGTATTAATTGACGTCGGGGTTTCAGTAACGGTGTAGCACAAATGTGTAGCTTGCGGGGGATGTGCCAGGCCGTCTCCAGATTTTCTATTTTTTTTAATTTACATGTTTTTTCCTGCCAGGGTCCGTCAACGATATCGGCACTGTTTTATTTATTTATTTAAACATTTGTATTTTAAGTCCCCTTTTATGGCAGAGAAGAAGAAGAAGAAAAAATAAGTGGCAGCAGAAGAAGAAGAAAGTGATGGCGCAGCTTTAATTGTTTTGGCTCTTATTATTGGGGCCTGGGTGGTTTTGAGCCAGAGAAAACGGTGGTTAGAAAATAAGCCGTGCCGTTTACTGGGTGGATATCGGTGTGTTTATGAAACTCGCTGTGGGATAGTTTGTCCCTTTAACAGGCATTTGTTTGGTCACAGCAGCGGTTTTTTTCCGGGGTCTTTTAAGGGGACGGTTAGGTGAGGTGAAACGACGCAAACTGGTACGTTTGAAGCAGAGCATGTATTTCGTATTCATATTTTTTTTAATTATTATTATTAATAATAATTAATAAATAAAGTAATAATAATAATATCACTGAGTAAACCCCGTCACCTCCGACTGCTAATTGATAATAGGCTAATAATTAAAGCTAAAGGCCACGCGCATGTGGCCCTAATTTAATTTCCGGGTAAGAAGATTAACCCTGAGACACTTTCCATGATGGGTTTATGCCGCTTCGATAGACCTAAATAACCATATAGGTTCTTCCAACACAGCAACATGAAGATTACACAATATAGGCGTAGTGTGGAGCAGCAGATAGTGCAGACATGCAAATGGAAAGCACGGGGTTGCCCCCCCCCTTTCAAAATCTGGGACTTTAGAAAATTCTGCAGTTTTCTTCCTGAGAAATAAATATGCACAACATAAATATGTTTTTTTTTCTTCTACTTCTTCAGCAAGTGAAAGGCAAACAGCATAGCAAAGACAAAATGACTTAAAACTCCTTGTAGTCAAATTTCACTGACATTTGAATGGTGGTTTATTTGCATTTTGGCAAGGTCACCCAGAAAACCTTAATTCCCACTGAAAAGCAGACACACTGGAAAATGCATTCAAGTGTCAGTTATCTCCTCCTGCTACACTAAGTTTGTGCAGGTGGTGATGGATGCAAATATATCTTGACAGTGATGCCAAACACAGTCATACTCCACGGTGAGGTTCTTTTGTTACGTTATCCAGCGATATATCAAACTTTTGGCTGATTGGAGATAAATGTGGAGGTGTGCCGTCCTTTGCTGTGTTAGCAGATGATGGGTGAGCGTCAGTGTTTCATTACGGGCTCTGGTGATGGAGCTGAAATGCATTGCTGTGTGGAGGATGTTCAGCCTTGACAGAATGGTGCGATTGTATGACCTTTGACAGTCTGCGGGCCTCTTCTCATGAAATCATCATTTAAAGACTTGCTAGAACTTAAAGTTGACTAACCGTGGTCTTTTCTTCAATGCTTGTCTTGTAACAGAGGAATATATCAATTTAAATAATTGCTGAAGGCACCCATTTAAAGCTGCAACTATCAATTGTTTCCGTTTGATTTTGTCTGTTAAAGCCAGAAACTGTCAAAAAATGACCATTAGAAATACTTGAATTTCTACTGCTTGTGCTTCCCAACCTTACACACTGAGAATTGCTCATTTCAGTCATATATAACAACGGAAACCATCCAGTTCCTAATATTAAATAGATGAACCCAGGCATTTTTTAGTTCTTGTTCTGTACATTTTTGACTCCATCTGAATGTGGCGTCATTTTATTGCATGAGATCTGGAGTCCTGATCCTCTGCTCTTGGTCTGTGATTCAGCAGCACTTGCACCTTCCCACTATCTGTCTGCTGAGCAGGTGCAGCCCTGACTGACACTCGTTCAGAGCTGAAACTAGTGATTATTTCCATTTATTTCCATTTAGTCTGTTAGATGCCGAAAGCTTGTCTAATGTTAGTTTAATATCATTTGTGATAAATGTATCAATACCCAATTTTTTGCAAAGCTTAGACCCGAAAGTGTTTGGCAGTTTTGCTTCAAGGTGGCCGTTTCCAGATAATTTCCCATGAATTTATCAGCAGATATTTTCAACTCTGCATGCATTCTTCGTCCTTGCTGACTCCATCTGATTGTGGTGCAGGTCTCCTGATGCTATGTTTCAGGTTTATTGCACTGGTCAGTGATTCAGCACCACCACCTTCACTCAAGCTGCCTGCCAAGCAGATGTAGCCCTGAACGACGTGCTTTACGATGAGGCAACACGGCAGTCATCTCCGCTCCGATACCGAACTGCAGAAACCTCCCAGGGCGGGGGGTGTTCGGGGATACGTACGGAGCCGATTCGGGCTCTGGGATTTCGTCCTCATGCTAGCTGTGCTGCTTAAAAACAGAAAACAAACAAAAACAGCTGAGGCAAATTCTGGTTCCTCTCCTGCCTTCACCCCCACACCCCACCCACCCCTTTAAATTCTGTAACAATTTCTGTATCTGTGCCTCTAAATCATCTCGTCATTCATTTTGCGAGTGTGCAGCGAGAGGAGGAGTGTGGCTGCCCGGGTTTGTTTCTCCCTCTTTGTTTGCTGTGGTAAACCCATGAGCAGCTGCCGGTGGTGGGGTCTGGAGGGATTCTGAAGCTGTGTGTCCTCTCTCTCGCTTTGCCATCCTCTGCCAAGGTGGCATTATGCGAGCAGAGAAAGGGGCAGAGAGAGGGAGCGGGAGACACAGAGGAGGTGAGGGCGGTGGGGTGAGAGGGAGACGAAGCAGTGGCGGCCATAGTAAAGATGGAGGCAGGCTGAGGGCTGTGGGGATTGGTGCAGGAGAAGGCTTGCTCCCCTGAACTTTGCCTCCGTGTCAGAGAGGAACTTGTCGATTTGGCAGATTGTGCAGCGTCGGACATGGCTGCGCGCTCCCTTACACTCCCACCTGCTCCCCCCACCCCCTCC